CATTGTAGGAGCTACAATTGCTGGTACCATCAGAAGACACCTGTTGAGTGTGTTTTATGTCTTCTGCAGGTACGTGAGCTTGTTAACAGTCATTTTGTCTGTAAAGCACAAGCAAGTGAAAATGTAATGCGCTATTGTTAATTTGTCCACTAGAGGGAAATGTTTAGTCGGTGATGCTTCTGTTATCCTGTTATTTTGTTTTACACGATTGTGAAATGTATTTTATTAGTCATACGGTTTCTTTTTGTATACAAGTTCAGTGTGACAGACTGTAAAATGGGAGAAATTATTATTTTCCATCTTTTCCTTATTAAAAAGTTAATTGTAAGTCTGTCAACACAGCGCGCGTTTGCACTGTGAGGGAGCTACAATTGCTGGTACCATCAGAAGACACCTGTTGAGTGTGTTTTATGTCTTCTGCAGGAATAAATCGTGAAAAGCCAATCCTGCTGAGCGTCTGGGATTTTTGAAGAGCTGGAAGTGTTACACTGGCTCCTCTCATTCACCCAAACAAAGCTCTGAAAAATTAGGATACACATTACAGATAACTTCTTTATATTAGTCTTGCTGCTAATGCTGTAAAAGTTGAAACAATTAATTTGTTCTAAGGTAAGAAAATATATAACTCCTTGGTTAAGGACATTTAAACAATACAGAGAAAATGTATTGTGTTCAACTAATGTTCTCCTCTAGACACATAGCTGTGATATAAAGGATTGGCATAACTCACATTAAGCTTCAATAGCATTTTGAACCCCACCTTGTTTTTTAGCAGCTAAAAGTGGCCATGAGCAGTACATGTCAGAAACCTCCGATGAAGTAGTGAGGCCACGTTAAGTAAGAAAACTCATCATTTTGAAAATGAAGTTGAAATTTGGAAATTCAAGTCTAAATATTATTTTAAGAATAAATTCAAAATAATATTTTCACAACAAACTCTAAATGTGGAGATTTTTTTTTTTGTCAAAATAGCCTTAATGTCAAACTTTTGACTTTAATCCCAAAATTAAGAAAATCATTTTTTTCATGATGTGGACTTAATACTCTGTTGTATAGAAACAGATATCTGCTAATTAGTATGAAGAGAGTAATGAAATACTAGAATGTTATCCACGAAAACTGAAACACAAGCAACATGTCTTGCTGTGTATTAGAGGTCATTCAGACCACATCAGAATTGCCATCAAACTGCCCCAAAAGGCACCAACAACATAAGCACCACTGAAACTTTCACCTCAGTGTACACTGTTTTTCTGTGTTGGTACATAATTGAGAGGCTCCACCTTGAGCATGTAGTAGGTTCTCATGCTATCTGCTAGTAGTTCCAGACTGCTAGTGTGCTAACTGTCCGTTGCATGTCCGCCCATATCAGCTGGAATCCATAAAATGTAGGACTGTAGTAGTAGTGCAGCCATGTCTCTGTTAGCAGCATTTTGCTACATTCCTGGTAATCCATCTGATGACAGGCAACCGCCGCTAGTAACAGGCTGCCGCTAGTAACAGGCGTAACAGGCTGCCGCTAGTAACAGGCTGCCGATAGGAACAGGCTGGTGTTAGTAACAGGCTGCCGCTAGTAACAGGCTGGTGTTAGTAACAGGCTGTTGCTAGTAACAGGCTGCCGCTAGTAACAGGCTGTTGCTAGTAACAGGCTGCCGCTAGTAACAGGCTGTTGCTAGTAACAGGCTGTTGCTAGTAACAGGCTGCCGATAGGAACAGGCTGTCGCTAGTAACAAGCTACCGCTTGTGCGGCGCCGGATGTATAATTTGTCATGATTCAATTTTAAGAATGAGCCTGGGCAAGAAGTTCCAGGTCAAAAACCACCGCTGACCAAAAAGAACAGAAAAGCTTGTCTCACATTTGAATCAACATTTTGATGATCCTCAAGACTTTGGGAACAATATTCTGAGGACTAATGAGACACAAGTTGAAGTTTGAAAGTGGAAGGTTTGCATCCTGTTGAAGCTGGTGTGAAACTAGCAGAGTTTCATAAAAATGTGCATCATACTAACAGACAAACATGGAGGTGTTAGGGTGATGGTATGGAGCTGCTTTGCTGCTCCCAGTACCTGGACAACTGGTAGTAACTGACAGAACCATGAATTCTGCTCAGGCAGAATGGACAGCCATCAGCTTGTGCCCTAAAACTCAAATGCACTTGGATTATGCAGCAGGACAGTAAATTAAAAAACATAACAAGTCAAGCTCTGAATGGCTCAAAAACAAAGGTTTCAGAATGGCCTTGTGAAAGTCCAGACTGAAATCCAATGGAGATGCTTTGGCATGACCACAGAAAGGTCCTTCATTCTTTCATTAGAACCATTCAGCACACTTGTTTTAATTCTTGAATAAAAGAATGAGCTCTGTCACAGCAGAGTGAAAGACTGACTGCAGTCATCACAAACCTTTGCCCACAGTGCTGTCAAACATGGCAGAACCAGTTAACAGGTTTAGGGGGCAATTTGGTGGACCTGTAGTTCCACTGATTTAATGTGTCATGTGATTACACATAGAATCATCCTCAGAGTAACCTTCATAACAGGAATACTCATTGATGTCTACATGACTACACTCAGTCAGTCTATGCTTTGTAGGATATACGTTATGACTTCCTCCAGGCAGGCTGCACCATGCAGGTTGACAGCATATCTGCTAGAGGCTCCTGGCTAGATGCTGTGTCCACAAATGAAATAACACAGAAATTCAGGTCCCTGATTAACACGCTTCATGTTGTTATCACCTTTTTAAAGATCCCTATAAGTCAGGAGAAGGAGCCCAATGAATGCTTGCTCCACTGTAGGTATATGTACAGGCATTCTGGACATTTCTGTGATGAGTAGGGCAGGGTTCACGTCTTTTGATTGCATGTGGTATGGCATCGTAATTTGATGTCTTGTAGAAAGGGTCAGCAACACATTTTTAAATTGTTAGTGTGTCTCACAACTTAAAAAATCTGTCTTTCACCTCAAAATGCATTTTCCATACTCCAACCAACGGCCCATATTTTTCTATTAGTGCAGATTAGTGCTCCAAAAATCATATTAGGATCACCATCACTAGAGCCTTCATCATTGTTGAGTTCTGGGACATCAGAGTGGTCAGCAGTCTGACTATGATGACTTTCCAAGACTTAAAATTAGTTACAGAACAAGATTAATGTCTCCTGCCTTTGTGCTTTAGAAATGTATTGTATATATTAGTGCCAAAGTCACATCCATTAAAAACACAAAATGCATCTTTGTGTCTCTTCAAGTGATTTCCTATATGCTGCTAATAGTCCTTCTGAGTCGGGCAAAAAGCAGTGCAAGCCAAACACTTAAACGCAGCGATCACTTCAGGCCTCTCTTCAGCTGCATGGTATCTGGACAAATGTGTGCAAGGGCTTCTTGTGTTTTCAGGACAACTGCCATACAGACATGTCTGGTGCTGTCCACGACCAAATGTTGTGTGTTGTAATCTGCAATGACATAGTAGCAAAAAACGTTTTGCATATGTTACACTGCCATCTTATTCACCAGATCCTTCAAATGTAAGAGCATGGGTGTCTGTACACATTTAATGTTGAGATTATAGAAAAGAAGAAAAAATCCAAATAATAAGCAATTCTTTCTACTTGTTACTTTTACAAAAACAAATAAGTTAGATTAAGTGGGCTCAACTTGGTAATTTTCTGCTGATTCAATTTCAAAACTACTAGTTTAACCCTTTCAAGCCGGTCGGAGCGCTCTGTAGCACTGCAACCACGTAAGCTAGCGCAATAATTTTTTTTGCACATGAAACCGGAGGAGTTGTACTTACATCTTATGCCATCAGCTTGTCCTAGGTCACAGTTTCCTTCCACATATAGCTTTGCAAAAACTGCATAAAAAGCACTTGCAGGAACAAAAACATAATATTCCAGAAACAGCTTTGCCGATCCAATCAGCTGTTTGTAACACTTCCTACATCCATCAGCACGAACTATCGCATGTCCGGCATGACCTGCCCGAAACCGGAAGTGACGTCATTTTGCGGAAATGCAGTTTTTTTTTTACCATCAGGGCCTCATGAGCCTATACTGGTGTTTTTAAAAGTTATGTTTGACTTTATGACTTTCTGTGTTGTTTCTGGGATGCTTAGGACTCATATTGCACTGCTGGAAATAGTTTATTTTGATGCACATGCAGTTTTTTTTGCAAATTTGCATTATAATATTTCTTTTTGTTTTCCTGCAGTATATAAAAATTGGTGTATTTCAAAAATAAAACTATGAAGACACTAAAAATAAATTTCCTGTGGTGTGAAAATGCTTTCAAACAACTTGATTTTATTACCAATTGCAAAAGAGAATAATGCAGCTGGGCTACAGGAGAGGCATTTGTTAGTTGGGCTGGTGGATGTGTGCTTGTAACTCTCAATACATGACAATTATCCCACACAAATGCATGTATGATCCCTGTGAATTGGATGGCATTGCCCACAGGGACACAATTAATCCTCAGCATTTCCATTCATCAGATGTAGGTGGAGGCTGTTCTCAGGGGATCGCGGCCCATCACTTCTAATGATATTTGAAAGGCTGTCGACCTGTTTCCCGACAAAATAAAACCCTCTCGTTTGCTCTTTCTCCCTCCATTAATGGCTTCTTATAAGGCCACGGGCCGGCGTGGAATGCCTCCCAAACATATTCAATTTCATCATAATTAAGAATAGATTATCTATCCAGCTAAACACAATTTATCATAATCATCATTGCAACCTTTTAGGGGTTTGTATAATCTGATGCAGGGACCCATAACTCCTTACGACACCACAATAATTTGTTTAGAGCCACATTTATTTGGTTTACCATCCTTTAATCAATAGCAGTAAATATAAAGTCCATTTTGTTGCACATTTCTCCAGGGTGGGAAAAAAAGACGATTGCTGGGAAGAACCACCTTAGTCCAGGACCAGGAGGCACATCTCTCCTGAGTCTGAACGGGATCATATTAGTCTGTTAATTCTAAGCAGTGCACAATATCTACAGGGCATTGATGGATTAAGATACACAGAGCAGTGATGGTTAGTCATAGCTGCTGATAATGAACTGATTCATTAAGATAAGAAGGAATGAAAGCTAGAAGGCAGCTGTTCCACAGCACTTGTACAACTTGTTCCCCATCGCAGTTATCACATAGACACAGTCACAGAAACAGCGATCTCATGGCGAACTGGCTTACTTGATGCTGATGGGCTATCTTGAAGCTGCTTAACACTCAGTGGATGGACGTGTGGAAGAGGGGTGTTTGCTGACCCACAGAGCTGAGGACACGTTACTGGATTACAAATTTGTAAAGTGGCTGTTTGTGATGGTAAAATGATCTTTTAGCTTAAATTTGCCAATAGTAATCAAACTCACAGCTTACTTACTGTGACTCTGGAGGGTTGTACCTGAGAGTACCGGAGGTGACAAAAATACAGTCATTGTCTACTTA